GTCACGTGATACGATAAAAACAAACCCATTCTTTTACCGTAAAACTATAATCCTTTCATCAATATGATCCGACCAATTACGAGATATGTATATTTGTCAATCTTAATTATTGATCATATTTTTCATTTTATTATTAAGTCAATGTAAGTCAAAAACTATTTTTCGACTTATGAGTACACGTTGGTCAAGAATTTCGTTATCAAATTAACTGAATGAAATGTAGATCATAATCTCTTATTATCTAAGAGTGACTAATTCTATATTAATCATTCACAACCTTCATATGATCTTGTAGTATCCAAACGATGCTATATTAGTGGCCCTTGACGGAGTAACATCCAATATCACCAAAGTAAAATTGTCCTCATATAAGGTACTATAATGACCTCAAGTCAAAAAAATCAATTTCACTATCAAACGTTAGAGATAGCTACTGATGCTCAAATAATTATCCATGTAGAATCTTTCCAGTTGGTATCCAATGTTTTGTTTTATAACAAAATATCCACTTATTCATTTAAGTGTCACTACACTTTAAATCGTGAGATCAACTACTATTTTTACAAGTAAGAAATGCCACACATGATAATTTATCCGTATTAATGATATCCTTATCTCGTTATTACTCATAACCATGGATGATTCATGATTTAGTCATAAATAATTTGTATCTCACAATCACAAATCTTTGTGATTAACAAATTACTTGAATTTAAATCTGTAGACTTTATTATTTAATTAACTCTGTCATAAAATTATATCAATTATATATTAAAAGCGTTTATATCCAAAGTTAATTGGACCTAGCGCATAACACTTACAAGATCACGTTATGGGGGTGAAAATATCGAATTTTTCCTCGAATTATCAGTTTGAGCAACACTCTGCTCAAATTCTTTATGCATTGATGCCACTTTACTTGGATAGTTAGATTTTGGGGCACTGCCTTTGGCCCAGCCCATGAAATTTTTTAAGAAAAGATTTTAGAATTGTGGCTCAAATGTTAGCATTAATTCAGCTCTAATTTAAATCTTAACACAAGTCCATTGCTCATTCAAATTGTATTAAAAACACTACAATTAATAATTACTCTTTTCAAAACATTATTGAAAGTTGAATATTTTATTGTCAAATTAGTTATTCTATTTAATGGGTGTTTGACTAAAATTTACTTATAATTATTAAGTAAATTTTATTACAGATAATTTGTATTGATTAGATCTAAAAGTAAATTACTTATTCTAATAGTTAGAGACACTATGTATTTTTCTAAATTACGTATGTTTTCATTTATCACCAATTCATTTTTATTAAAAAAAATACTTATTTTGACCATAAAGTAGATATTATGATCAAATAAATAACTTACTATAGATTCGATATTGACAATAAAAAGAATGTGTTAAAACTTATTTATTTATATATAAAGTAATCTATATCGACAATAAAAATAGTATTTTTCAAAACTTTTAGTTGTTTGGAAAGACTGATTGTCAAAGTTACTAGAAGAGTACTCATTAAGTAATTTTTTATATGTCCATTGGTGGATATGTATTTTTGTTTAATTCTATCATGATTCGGTTAGTTTATATCCGATATTGACAATAAAAAGAATGTGTTAAAACTTATTTATTTATATATAAAGTAATCTATATCGACAATAAAAATAGTATTTTTTAAAACTTTTAGTTGTTTGGAAAGACTGATTGTCAAAGTTACTAGAAGAGTACTCATTAAGTAATTTTTTATATGTCCATTGGTGGATATGTATTTTTGTTTAATTCTATCATGATTCGGTTAGTTTATATTTTTTTAAGATAAGCATCAATTTTCTATTTGGTTAAAAAAAAAATACAAAAATTTAGTGGAATATCTTAATGCGAGACATCTAAAAATTTTTATTTCTTTGAGTGTCATATACTTTTATCATGAATGTCACGAAAATAGCCTCCGAAACTCGATTTCTTGTGGCGTAAGATTATTCAAAAAAAATTTAATTTCAGCCCACCTCAACATCATTTTCTAGCTCCATTCCTGGGCACTTCAGAGTTGTACGATGGTGAGCTTGCAGCAAGAATGAATGAAACGGGTAATGCTATGGATAATGCGGTGGAATTGAGGAAGAATCTTTCAATTGCTTATAACCGTGAAAGGCAGGCGAAGATCACTGGTGAGATATTGGAGAAAATTGCTGGAGCAAAGGCTCTTGTGTAGTTTCAATTGGTTTGGGCTCTTCACTATTGAATGATTTCAGTCTCCTTTTTGTTGAAACCGTTTATAATTCACTGAGATTATTTTCATTCTACCTTTGATCTTCCTCAATACCAGTGAGATGTTGGGAGTGATGCAGCAGAGACACTAATAGAGAATCAGTCTGGCTCTTCTTTTTTGGTTCGAATCTCTTATGCCATGTTCTTATTTTTAACTCAATGTAACTCATTCCTAATGTCTGATTGGAGAAATTATTGCTGGGAGAAAGCTAGTTGAGTTTGTATGTGTTACCAAGTTTATCGCCTCATAAATTTCTTCTACTGAAATGAAGTGATGTTGGTACCCAACTTTTAAGTACTATCGACCTAATTTACCTGCAATTTCTGACTTTTCTGCTTTCATATATTTGTTTCATCGCAGTTTATTTATGTTTGAATTATATATCTGAATGTTATTTATTCTTGTTCAAGTATTGCAGAGTGAAAGCAATAATCATTTCTCTTCTCATTGGCACACAAATCCAAGTGGGTAAAGCTACAGTGTGGAAAACCTTTAGTTAAAAATATTAGTCTGTGTGGATTTCTCACCTCATGAAAATTAACTGATAGAATTCAACTGAAAATCTGTTTCCTACCTAAAAATATATCTGTTCGGAATGATATTCTTCTTTCACCAGTCTTGATCCATCGATTAAGGCTTCTCAGATTAGTATCTGACAAGGGAAATAGAAAATTTTAACTTAATGTTCTACTTGGAAAGGAACCCTTCATCTTATTTTGGTGCGATAACAAGTCTTCCTTCAATCTCTTGGAATGTCCCACTAATTGACTACTACAGCTAGGGACGGGACTGATTCCAAGAGGTCTTTCTTTCTAGTTATGAATTGCTTCGTTTATTTAAGGATTGCATGTAATTTTTGTTGGATCTTGATCTTTTTATCATAGTGTCTGTTACAAGAAGCATGAGATTTGCAGTGTATATTCATCTAATAGAAGAGGATGATTTAACAAAGATATCAGCAATAGCCATCTGATATATGAGGACCCTTCAACAAAGATATCAAGAAAGGCGTTCTGACAGACATCGAGCATCTAGTTTTTTTTAGACTGCTGATTCTGTGGCGATAGCACGGCACAGGTCTGATCTTGCCCGCCACCACAATCGAACTGTGCTGAGTTCGGCCATAGGATGTCCCAACTCACTCGAACCCATATTAGAGAACTTGAGAATAACTATTTCTTCTCCATAGAGAATGCATTAGACAGGCATCAGCTTAATTAATGCTTGGTGGTTGAATTAGAGAGGCTTCTGTGGATTGTGGGCCATCAGCAGCCACTTGCACTACTTTATTTGAACAAGGAATCAAACATAGGTCCATGAATCTGGCCTTTCTATCACCGGATATTTCCAAGATTCATATGTTAGATTCCCTTTCTTCTATTTGAAGTAAACTAACAAGTTGAAAATGGCTTCAACACAACCGTGACTAATTAGATTTTCTTGTTTTTTGTCTCTCACTTTTTTTCAATATTGTGAATAGCCAAGTTCAATGAATGTCGGCCGCCCTCTGTTATTAGTACAATTTTGTCAAACAAAATCATAGGGACTCACTAAACGTGATTGTAATGCATGTTTACAATGTTTGTCTTTACATACGACCTCCCAAAATTGACATTTTAACTTTTCTTTCAATTTTTTTCATTTTTCATTTTAACCATATTAGGCCAGTCCATATCAGAGGAAAAGAAAGGGAATTTGAACAAGGCTAATGATGACAGTTGCAGAACTCTGAAAATGTGCCCACCATGATTTTATTAAGTTATCTCCATCTTTTACTGTTCTTAAAATTCTGCAAAGCAAGAATTAATAAAGCTTTTTTAATATAATAAAGTGGATTACTTAGAAAAATTAGTAAAGTTAGTGCATGAACATAAGGTGGCTGAAGCATTTGATTAATCTTTGATCATATTAGCAAGTCCAATGAGGTGATGGAAACAAGGTCTAAAAATAATAATTAAAGATTAAATTAATTATGCCTTTAATCACACCTGGCCTGCACTAATAAGCACTGCCATTGGGTTTGCTCATCTTTTGTAAAATTTCTCATAAGATAAACATTTTTAATTTAAAGTCCATGCACAGGAAACAACTGAGAATCATCTACAAAAACTTGATTTAACTTTTTAACCTTATGGGGCATGTTCGGTGCGAGTTCAATGGAAAAATCATAGAATTGCTTAGCCGACGGGATCAAAGATCTTATTGGCCAAAAACTTGACTTTACTAAACGAGCGAGAAAGAAAAGGACACGGGTTTTTTTTTCCAATTAAAAACGTGTTTTCTTCTTCCTTATTACTTTTCATTACTGATCCTTTTAGTGTGTCAACATGTTAAAGTGTTACTAATATAAATCATACCTCTCAGGGAATAATCCGGTGGTGCAAAGGATAAGAGTAAAGTTATCTCATGTCTTACTGGCAGTCGCAGTGTGAGAGTTCGATTCCTGAGACATGGAATTGGACTCCTTGTAGGCACAATGTACAGACAGCTCTTGTTCCCTGGCCTGTTGGAGCACATCCCGCAATTTACCTCCCTTATAAAGCTCTAGGGGTCGGGCGGTGAGGGCCCTCAAGGTTGGGGTTTAACCTTTTTTTTTTTTTTTTTTTTTTTTTTTATTTATTTTTCATTTTTGGTGAAGTAATCATGTAAGAAGAAGAATAAATTAATTTCCTTGTCCCCTAGTCTTTTTCAAATCTATGACTTATTTATGCCAGATAGATGCATTCTTTTCTGCTATTAATGAAATGATATAACTTTCCAAATTCCAGCTCATTAGCATTTCTACCTCATTTCTGATTCCAGACCAAACATCTCTCTTCTTTTTAATGCAGAAATTAAGGCAAAGTATTGCTCCAGTTTTTTATAATGTTTCTGTTGAGGATTGTTATGGCCTGGATTGATTTCAAGTCACTGATTTTTATCCCTTTCGGTGTTTCTCTGCAGAAAATCTAGCATTCTACAGACTAGAAGCAGTGTAAAGGAAGAGAACTGATTAGGATTTTCTTGATCCAGTGGCTAGGTTTTTTTTTTCCCCATATTTTCAAGTTTCAGAACTAAAAATCTTCATTCAGTTCTAGGTAATGAACAAAATGCTAAGGTTTATTTTTCAGAAAAACCTATTATGTGAATTTTTTTGGGATTCTGAGGAAGCTGTTAAATGAACTTGAATCTGATAAAAAGTGAATTCCTCTTGCTTTTCTTTGTTTCTGATGTTGTTTCTGAGGTTAGTGCTCGTTATGTGACAGCAGAAAAGGGGACCGGAATGTCATCGAGCGGGACCAAATATGGCTTATACAGTCCAGGAAGCACTGGCTGGTCATCAATGAGGAATGAAGAATTCCAAGAAGCAGATGTTTGGGGAGGGTTCAAGGAAAGAAATGAATTTGATTCCAGGATCAGTTCATTTCAAGAAGGAGCTTTCATTTCCAAAAGCCAGCCAACAGGATCCCGGACGATCCCGAGAGCCAACAAGAATCAGAATCCCAATTCCCACGAACCCAAAATTCTTCAAAACTCGGCCCCAGTCAACATTCCAGACTGGTCAAAGATTTATGGGACGGGATCAAAGGTTAACGGTCATGATTTTGCAGGAAGTCATCGAGAAATTGATGACGATGAAGGTGAAGGTGAAGATGAAGAAGATGACGGGGATATAACGCCCCCGCACGAATGGATTGCTAGAAAACTTGCAGGTAATCAAATATCTTCATTTTCTGTGTGTGAAGGCATTGGAAGGACTCTCAAAGGGAGAGATCTAAGCAGGGTAAGAAATGCTATCTTAACCAAAACTGGCTTTCTTGAATAAACAAGGATGGCCCCATATATATATTAGCAGTGTAATGAATCAGACATGATGATTTTACACACTATAAAATGGAGTTTCAATGCAGTTATGTTATCGTTTATGGAAGTTTGTGTTTTTGTAAATTAATCTCTCTTTTTTCTTCTTAGCAGATTGTTTGTGTGTGTATTTTGTTGAATTGTATAGTGGGCTGCTATAAAATTGTTGGCTTTCTTCTTTTCCATTTTTCTAGTACTCTTTGTTTAAAAGATTTATATTCCTGTTATTTTTCTACACTAATTTTGACTTTCCGCTATGATTAAAAGCAACATCCTGAAAATGATAGTCTACGTATGGATTGAGAATATAAGAGACGAGTTCAAGAACTCGAACTAACTTAAAATGATTGTCTATGTACGAATTTAGAATACAAGAAGTTGAGTTCTACATATAAATCAAGAAAACGAGAAGCCGAGTTCAAGAACTCGAATTAGCTTACTAGATTGGAAAAAGAACTAGCATCGCTCATGACGAATGAGATTTTTTATTTTCTTTAGTTATTAGTTTTGTACAACTTATTAGACAATACATGATTTCTGCATTTATTGAGGTTCTACCATTCAATTACTGGAGATAATTTTAATTTTTATTGCAAGATTTAATTAATGAACATTATTAATCAGTCGATTTCACCTAAGATTTTATAGTATAAAACGTTTGTCATTATCAAAGATTAAGAAGCATGGGATAGGAGTACTAAAACACGGCTAGCCCACAAAATTATTTAGAGAAAAATTGAAAGACAACCTAAGTGGGATCACCATAAAAAAGGTAAAAATATGTGGGAATTGAAAAGATGTTTCACCAACGTCACTTTTCAATGATAATATATTTGCTTTATATTTTAGTTGAGAACGAACCACAATAATTTAAGAACTCATACTTTTTATGCGAGATCGGCTTGGACAAGACGATATAAAAAAAGTGTGAGGTCTATTATTGTCTGACAAGCATCGTTCCAAATACCTTATAGTTTATTATTCTCGCACCATATATATAATGTATTTTACAATTTCATTGTATTATCATTGAATTAGTTGCACTTCTTGTACTCATTTAGTAAATTTTTTATATTCTCTTGGCGATTTTTCTTGTCTTGAGTTTTTCACGTAAATTTTGTGTTCTTATTCTTATTTTATATATTGTCTATTCTCGCTTTTGCGTAACAGTATGCATATATTTTTTTTACCATAAAATCTTCATATGTTGAATAAAAAAGTAGCAGCATATAATTGAAACTTTAAAGGTTAGGATACTTTCTTGAGTAATTTCCTCAAAATAAAATAGCTTTTGCAAAGACTCCAAATTTCAAATGGAAAATGCAATAGTAACATAACACATATAACGTTTGCTTTCTCTCCATGTTTCTCCATGTACCAAATTACAATTATGTAATTAACATCACATTATTGTAACCTAACTTAGGAACCTCAAGTCACATAGTTGAGTGGAAAAGTCATTTCAAACCCTTAAAGGGTACATTCTATTTTTCTCATTCCATCCTATATTTTCAAGCACCATGAATTATGTCGTCCTAGTTCTTAGCTCCTCATTTTCTTCATGCACTATCAAAGTTCCATGATCGTCTACCCTCTTTTTACACCTTTTATAGGCTTTAGATGACGACAAGACTAGGCTCAATGATGCTAGAAATCGACACCATTTTTTTCCCCTTCAAACTTTCCAACTCCTTAAGAGCTAATATTTTCAATTTCTCAATCTTTTCTTCCACTCCCTTATTATCTTTTCCTACTCCATTTTGCATTCCCTTTATTGTTCCAACATAGAGCCCATATTTCCTTAATTTCTCAATTTCGTCCTCGGCTCCACCCCCCAATATGGCTCCACAAGCGGCTCCACATGCATGCAGTTCACCTTCTTTTTTCTTGCAAACATATTCAATAATCCCCATATCGATATTTGAGTCATTAAGTTCCAATTCACGGTACAAGCCGTCCACCATCCCCTCTGAGCCGGCGAGCCGGGTTATTTCGATAATAACCCGTAGGATCTTATCCGGGTTGTGGTTTTGGGCCAGGTCCATGGACCTGGACAAAAGCTCCAGCCCAAATGGAACCATACCATCTCCTGTAAGAAGCTCAATACTGGGCTCAAATTCGTGTTGGATTTCGGGTTTGTAAATGGGCCTGCCCGTGATTGGCAGGTGCTCGTGAGCATGATACGCCCCGTGCATCAGATGAATAGCTGACGCCGCCGCCATAGCATGGCCGCGGTCATTGCCCATAAGCTCGCACGCCGCAATGCACAGTGCCGGCGCCGTCGTCCTTGGAGCGGCGAAAGTGAGGTAGTGCATAGGCTCAAAGACAGTCACCGGCGACCTAATTGGGATAGCCTTCTTCAAATAAGCTTCAATATCGGCTTCAATTGTAGCCCAGAAAGAGTGGTTTTGCTCCACAGAAACCACCGCCGCGCAGTGAACCACCGTCCGCCGGCTTCTGGTGTGGGTTAAAAGACTCGTTTTAGCCTTGAATTGAGAGAGCCCAGTTGCCATTTCTGCTTCTGGAGACAATAGTGAGATGAAATTCACATAAAATTTGCAATAAGAAAAATGTGGAGGCAAGAATTTGAAGTGGGCAAACAGGTTTCTGTCACAATTATAAGAGTAGGAAAATTTCGTGCTATTTATTTGGTTGTAGCTTAATTTTACTGATGGTAAATAAACTTTGTACTTAGTGTCATTTTGATCACTAAACTTTATTTTTGTTTCAGAATCATCACAACCGTACAAATTATTTCATTCATTCACCGATTCAATCTTATACGTTCGTGTGTCAAGTCATCCAATTGTTATCCTGCAAATTGGCACATTAAATCATCAAATATTTTTAGCTGAAAATCCTACATGCTCGTGTGCCAAGTCATCTAATTGTTAGGATTTTCAATTAAATCCGATGACTAGACACACGAAATCCTAGAATATTCGGTCAAAAATGAACGTCAAACTAAATCAATAATCTAATGAAACAATTGTAAAGTTCAATTAACGAGTTTGAAATAAATTAAAGTTTGATGACTACTGAGATACTAAATGTCAAGTTCAGTGGCCACCAGTATAATTAACTCAGGTCAATTTTTTAATGGTGCATGTTCCACGGGTGGTTCATAAAAGAAGTGGGGCCCACTTGGATCACAATAATGCTTTTGTTGATAAAGGATGAACTCGTGTAGCGAGCGGTATTTTTTCTTATTTAAATAAAAAAAAAATTGATAAAAATCTAAATTAACGAATAATTTTAACTAAATATTTCATAAATTCGTAGTTTTTTTTTTTTTTCTTTTATCAACTTTTGAGTCCTGTCCCATGAATATGATATCTTTTTAGTGATCGATATGGAATATATGACAAAGGTGAAGTATTTCTATTAATTGGCCAAATTTGGACATTTGAGCCACATTTTTTTTTAAAAAAAATACATTTTTAAACAGTGATTTGACATCATTTCAACCACTCATTTTTCAATAAAATAACATTACACGCAAATCCAGAACTTTTCTTTATTTTTAAATCATACATTTTCCATCAATACACTATTCAAAAATGCATTCTTAGAAATATAGTGTGGCTCAAACAAGGGCTTAATTGCTTCAATTGATATACTAAGAATTTGTTTGGGTGTGATTTTGATAATTGATTTTTTGATCGTTAGGAGAAAAGTGAAGTCCATTTATAAGAGAAGAAGTCAAATATGATAATTAAAATAGTGAAATAACGGTAAAAAATCAATCTTTTAGGGGGGGGATCACTCCCAAATAGGTTCTAAATTCTTGTTTGGTACAATTTTCCTTAAAACTCATTTTAAACCACATATTTTCTCATTAAAATAAGTTTGCATGTTGACCCATAATTTTTCTCTACTTTTTGACTATACATTCTCTTAAAAAGTAAAACCAAATTTCTCAAAATTTATTTTCAAAAAAATCTACGCCAAATAGACTTTAAAAATCTTTTTTTAATTCAAAACAAACAAGGTCTTACATTTTTTTTTATTCCTTTTTTCTATAATTCTCAAATCTATGCATTGTCAACATTCAGGCATTTTTTTTCTCTTCTAGTATAATAATTATCAAATTAATACACTGTCAAAAGTTAGGCAGTGGTTTACTTTGTTGCGGAGGTCAGCTATTCTATTCAATTTGTTTCGAAATCACAAATTTAAAGTTACATGTTAGTGCCGATTTTTTTATTCATTATTTTGATAAATAATTTATCATCCGTAGACGTTGATAGAATCCATCCATTTAATAGGACATTAAGATAGCATAGTCTTATAAGGGAAAAGTTCATAATTCAAGGGTATTCTTTGTCATTCAAGAATGAGGTAGATTGTTTAAAAATTCAAAAATCAGGTATGTATTTAATTAATTAAAAATAATGATATCACAGAAATATCATTATAGGTCACATTTTATTTATTGATCACAAATCGTCAAATTAATTAGTCAAATATTATTTTGAGGTCACAAATCAAAAGTTTTATAGATCAAAAATCGTCAAATTAATTAGTCACATTATTTCGAGATCACAAATCAAAAGTTTTATAGGTCGCAATTTATTTCTTTTATCACAGATCTAAAAATTTATAGGTCAAAAATTATTTCAAGATCACATTTATTAGTCATAGATTATCAAATTTTTAGGTCACATGGTCACAAATAATTAAATGGTTGGTCACGTACGTCAAATGGTGGTCACAGACCACCACACCAACACTATCGCACCGCTACTGCCATCACGGTGGTCACAGATTACCAAATTTTTAGGTCACGTGGTCACAGATAACTAAATGGTTGGTCACATATGATCATAGACCACTACCACCAATATTATCATCGCATTGCCACTGCTATCATGACCACTTGCAACCACCCTCACCCCATCACTGACGCCAACAAAAATCAGGACCATCGCTGGAAACCACCACAGTAACCAGATTCAACAAAAATCACCCCAGCCGTTAGATTCACCACCGTATGAAAATACTCAAGGCTCCTCTATGAAGCGATATGATTTATTGTAGCGAGAGAGTGATAACATTCTTGGTATTGAAAGTGAGGAGGTGACGAGAAGATCGAAACAATGATCAACTATGACTTGGGGAGTGGAAATAAAACTTATTTTTCAGAAATAAGTATTTATTGAATTTTAAAGTTACTTATTTTATAAGTTGAGTTGATAGCATGATTTTTTAGAATAAAACGAATTTTATTATCAAATGTTTTTAAAAGTTAAATTCAGTTCAGTTAAATTATTTCATTGACATATTATTTCAATATTAAACATTTCAGCATATTTAAACTTATTATTTAAAACCGCCGAAAAGTACCCAGGTGATTTTACCCTTGTCTACACTGGTGTGAATGTGTTTCCATAGTGTGTGATCAGTTATGGTAATTTTACCCGCTCTACACTATTGTGAATATGTTTCCATAATATATGACCAAATTATCAGATGTTTTCGGTAGGGATGTCCATTGGACCGAACCGACTCGACTCGTGAAAAAAAGGCTCGTGGGCGGCTCGGGCTCGTGATGTAGATGAGCCGCTCGTGGGCGGCTCGTTTGGATGAGCCACGAGCCTGTTCAGTGACCGTTTCAATGACCAAACGGTCACTGAACTTTTTTTTTTCTTCGCTCCCCTAATTTTTTTACTATAAATACCCCCTTCCCCCAAATTTTTTTTTTCATATCAATCTCTTCCAAGATTACAACTCTCTCAAGTCTCAACTCTCTTTTATTATATCAATTATCGAGTTTTTACTCTCTTGTGCTGCAAAATATACAATATCAATTCAATTTTTTCAACTTATTAGTTACAATTTCAATTCATCCAATTCTCAATTCTCACAATCTCACTACATTTATATTCATCTAGTCAAGATTTCATCATAAACAATCACAAAGATGGATCAACATTCATTTGTTGAGAGCTTGTTCGATACAGGATGTGAGCAATTGCCACATCATGGAGAATTGCCTAGTACGCTGCAAAGTCAGTTTCCAAATGAATTTGTCAGTCTAAATGACATACCGATACCTGAAGATGTTCACATTCACGGTCAGGGAAGCAACATTCCAATTGATTTGGATGTTATTAACGTTCCCGAAGCGGAACATGAAGATGAAAATCAGCAATTAAATATCCCATATGCGAGGGGAAAGCGAGAGGCCAAAAAACAAGCAAAATGTTGGGATTACTTTAAGTTGATTTCAACGGGAAAAGTCGTTGATGGCCTTGCAAAATCTAAAGCAGTATGTAAATACTGCCAACAAAGATTGGCATGGCAAAAAGGAATTGGTACCACTCATCTCAACCGCCACTACAAATCATGTACAGCCAGACATTGACTTCTTCCAGCTGGTCAAACACAATTACAATTTGGCAGTCCAGGCGTCGGTTCTACAACTTCACCCCTATCCACGTGGGTGTATTCGGAGGACGAGACTCGAACTGGAATGGTGAAATTTGTTACCGCCACTGAGTTGCCTCTGGCTATTGCAGACAACCAACACTTCGTCTCGTTCGTGAAAGAAAATCTACAACCGAGGTACGTTGGGGTAAGTCGAAACATTCTTCGTGCCGATACAATAAATTATTTCAATAATTCAAAACAACAATTAATTATGGATTTACAAAAATATGGGGGTATTATATCCTTAACTTCTGATATATGGGAAGGGGTTAATAAAAGAGCATATATAGTTGCAACCGCACACTATATAGACCCACTTTGGTGCATGCATGAGAAAATTATTGCTTTTAGAATTATTGAATTTCCTCCCAATGCTAATAAAATATATAATGCTATTATCAGTATTGTTAGAGAATATCATTGTGAGAGTAAAATTCGATCTTTTACTTTTGATAATACTAGCGTTAATAAGGTAGTCGTCGATAAATTGTGTAGGACACTTCAACCTGATTTTGATGGGTATTTGTTTCATATCATTGTGTGTGTAATATCTTGAATTTAATTGTGTAAGATGGTTTAAAACATATAAAGGATGAATTTCAAAGGATTAGGAATGCATTAGTTTATATTACGATCTCTCCTAGTAGAAACAAGCATTTGAAGATTTTTGTGCCGAATTAGGGGTGATGACTGCTAAAACATTTGTTAGCGACGTAGGTCATAGATGGAACTCCACATACTTGCTATTAAAATCATGTGAAGGTTTCGGAAATTTAATAACAGACTTTTATAATAATAGACATGTTAGAAGTGATGATGATTGTATGTTAAATGAATCCGATTGGATTTTAGTTTTGAAAGTTAAACGATTTTTGACATCTTTTTATGAGATTACAAAGATTTTATTCGGAGTTTATTATCCCACAAGTTGTATGGTGCTTGAACGCCTTTATATAATTGCAAGAACATTTCATAAATATAAAAATGATCCTGCTTTTAGTGAAATTTTAATTGCTATAGAATTAAAGTTTAGAAAATATTGGAAAGAACTGCCTATATTATTTCCTTTAGCATGCGCAATGGACCCCTGATATAATATTTCGGGAACTAAATACGTAATTGATCAAATCAATAAAGTTTTAATACTTGATACACCTATCACCTATAAGAATTTAGAATAAACATTA